TGTCCCTTTGGGACTGGCTTACTTCACTCAGCATGATGCTTTCCAGACTCCTCCATCTTGTTGCAAATGAATGGGTTTAATTATTTTTGACTGCTGTATAGTATTCTATAGAGTACATGTCCCATAATTTCTTTAACCAGTCTACTGTTGATGCGCATTTGGGTTGGTTCCAGGTCTTAACTATTGTGAATTGAGATTTCCACGTGCAGAATCATGAAGCATGACCCCTACCTTTCACCTTACACAAAAATTCACTCAACATGGATTAAAGACTTAAATCTGTGACCCGACACCATCAAATTATTAGAGAGCATTGGAGAAACCCTGCAAGATATAGGTACTGGCAAAGACTTCTTGGAAAATACCCCAGAAGCACAGGCAGTCAAAGCCAAAATTAACATTTGGGATTGCATCAAATTGAGAAGTTTCTGTACTGCAAAAGAAACAGTCAGGAGAGTGAAGAGACAACCGACAGAATGGGAAAATATATTTGCAAACTATGCAACAGATAAAAGGTGATAACCAGAATCTACAATGAGATCAAGAAGCTCCACAACATCAAAACAAACAACCCACTTAAGAGATGGGCCAAGGACCTCAGTAGACATTTTTCAGAAGAGGAAATCCAAATGGCCAACAGACACATGAAAAAATGTTCAAGATCACTAGCAATCAGGGAAATGCAAATCAAAACCACAATGAGGTGTCACCTCACCCTGGTTAGAATGGCTCACACTCAGAAATCTACCAACAACAGATGCTGGAGAGGATGTGGGGAAAAAGGGACACTAACCGACTGTTGGTGGGAATGCAAACTGGTTAAGCCACTATGGAAGTCAGTTTGGAGATTCCTCAGAAACCTGAATATAACCCTACCATTCAACCCAGCCATCCCACTCCTTGGAATTTACCCAAAGGAAATTAAATTGGCAAACAAAAAATCTGTCTGCACATTAATGTTTATTCCATTTCCTCCTTTCTATAACTAACAATAGTTGATTTTGATTGTCCATCCATATTTTAAAGTTTGTAAGAATGACATATTTTGTTGAAGCTGTTGTCCATGAGTTTTCACTTCCATTATTCTAGAACCTCTGTTTTGTGAGGGAATTTAGAAAGACTTAAAAATTGACACTGATATATATTACATTTGGGGGAAGAACTGGCTTATTTCAGTAAGTTTAATTGTTACCAGTTGCATCCATTTTGTTATGAGAGACATAAATTCATTTTTTATGCCTAAGTATTATTCCATATTGTATATATACCACATTTTCTTTATCTAGTCATCAGTTGATGGATATCTGGGTTGAGTCCATATCTTAGCTACTGTGAATCGAGCTGCAATGAACATGGTGTACAGATAACTCTCTCATATGCTGATTTGATTTCATATGAGTAAATTCCAAAGACTGGGGAGGCTATGTCATATGGTAGATCTATTTTGACATTTTTGATAGATCTCTATACTGTCTTCTGCAATGGCTGTACTAGTTTACATTCCCACCAACAGTGTATTAGAGTGCTTTTTCTCCTACATATTCACTAGCATTTATTGCTTTTTGATTTATCCATGAAAGCCATTCTAACTGGGATGGGGTGAAACCTTATTGTGGTTTTGATTTGCATTTTTCTGATGGCTGATGGTCCTGAGCATTTTTCATGTCTGTTGGCCATTTGAATTTCCTCTTTTGAAAAATGCCTGTTTAAATCCTTTGCCCATTTCTTAACTGGATTGTTTCTTTTGTTGCTGCTGAGTTTCTGGAGCCACTTATAAATTCTGGATATTAATCCTTTATCAGCTGCATAGGTTGCAAATAGTTTCTCCCATTCTGTCAGTTGCCTCTTCACTTTGTTGAGTGTATACTTTGTAGTGCAGAAGCTTCTTAGTTTGATGTAATCCCATTTGTCTACTTTTGCTTTGATTGCCTGTGCTTCTGGGGACTTTTTAAAGAAGTCTTCGCCTATGCCAATGTTTCCCAATGTTCTCCTCTAGTAATTTGATGGTATTAAGTCATAGATTTAGATCCTTGATTCATTTTGAGTTGATTTTTGTATAAGGTGTCTTATTTCATACTTCTCTGTGCAGAGATCCAATTTCCCCAGCACCATTTATTGAAGAGACTGTCCTTTCTTCTGATTGACTTTTACCTCCTTTGTCAAAGATTAGTCAATTACATTTGCATAGCTTGATTTCTGGGGTTTCTATTTTTCCCAAATATCTATTTGGAATATGTTCATTTCTTTACCAGTACCAGACTTTTGATGGTAACTTCCCTGGAATGTGTCTTGAAATCTGGTATTGTGATACATCTGGCTTTGTTTTTACTGTTTAAGATTGCTTTAGTGGTTTGGGGGTCTCTTATGTTTTGATATGAATTTTAGCATCATTTTTTCTAGATATTAGAAGAATGTGATAGGTACTTTGGGATCACATTGAATCTGTAAATTGATTTCGGTAGTATCGACATTTTGAAGATATTAATTCCTCCAATCCAAAAACATAGATGATTTATCTATGTTTTATATGTTTATTCATCTTATGTTCTATAATTGTAATTAAAAAGATCTTTCACCTTCTTGGTTAAATTCATTCCAAGGGGTTTATTCTTTTTTGTAGCTATTCTGAATGGGATTGATCTTACAAGTTCTTTCTCAGCCATGGCATTGTCTGTGTATACTAAAGCCATTACTTTTTTTTATTTGACAGGTAGAGTCATAGACAGTGAGAGAGCGAGACAGAGAGAAAGGTCTTCCCTCCGTTGGTTCACTCCCCAAAAGGCCACCACGGCCGGCGCTGCACCAATCCAAAGCCAGGAATTTCCTCCTGGTCTCCCATGCAAGTGCAGGGACCCAAGCACTTGGGCCATCCTCCATTGCCCTCCTGGGCCACAGCAGAGAGCTGGACTGGAAGAGGAGCAACCGGGATTAGAACCCAGTGCAGGCAGAGGATTAACCAAGTGAGCCATGGCACCAGCCCCTAAAGCCATTACTTTTTAAAAAATATTTATTTGAACGAGCTACAGAGGGAGGTAGAGACAGAGAGGTATAGGTCCTCTATCTGCTGGCTCACTCCCCAGATGGCCACAATGGCTGGAGCTATGCCAATCCAAAGCCAGGAGCCAGGAGCCTCTTCCACATCTGCCACGTGGGTGCCCAAGGACCAGGGCCATCCTCCACTGCTTTCTCAGGCCACAGCAGAGAGCTGGATCAGAAGAGAAGCAGCCAGGACCAGAACCTGTGCCCACATGGAATGCCAGCACTTCAGGACAGGGCTTCAACCTGTTGAGCCATAGTGCCGGCCCCAAGGCCCATTAATTTTTGTGTTTTGCTTTTATATTCTGCAACTTTACAAAACTCTCTTATGAATTCCAATAATCTCTTACTTGAGTCATTTGGTTTCCGTATATATAGAACCACGTCAACTGTAAACACTGGTAATTTGACTTCCAACTCTCCCATTTGTATTGCTTTGATTTCTTTTTCTTGCCTAATGGACCTGGCTAAAACTTCCAGAATTATATTGAATAGCATTGGTGAAAGTGTGCATCCTTGTGTGGTTCGGGTCTTAGTGGAAATGCTTACAACTTTTCCCATTCAATATGATGCTGGCTGTGGGTTTGTCATAAATTGTCTTGGTAAGGATTTTATCATGAAAGGATGTTATATCAAATGCTTTCTCTGAATCTACTGAGGTAATCATAGTTTTTATTCTTCAATTTTTAATTTAATGATTTGCATATGTTAACCATCCCTGCATACCAGGGATAAATCCCCTCGGCTGGGGTGAATGACATTTCTGATTTGTTGTTGGATTCGATTAGTTACTATTTTGTTGAGGATTTCTGCTTCTACGTTCATCAATGATATTGGTCTATAGTTTTCTTTGCTTGTACCTTTTTCTGGTTTTGGAATTAAGGTGATGCTGGCCTCATAGAAGGAGTTTGGGAGGCTTTCCCCTTCTTCAATTATTTTGAAGATTTGGAATTAGTTCTTCTTTAAAAGTCTGGTAGATTTCAGCAGTGAAGCCATCCTGGGCTTTTGTTTTTTGGGATGGTCTTTATTACTGATTCAATCTCCATCATGGTTATGGATCTGTTTACTTTTCAATGTAGTTGTAACTCAATTTTGGTAGATTGTATAGACCTACAAATCTACCTATTGCTTTCAGATTTTCCACTTTGTTGGCATATAGCTCTTTATAGTAATTCCTGATGGGCTTCAAAATTTCCTGTGGTATCCGCTGTTACATTTCCTTTTTCATCTCTGAATTTATTGATTTGGGTGTTCTCTCTCCTTATTTTGGTTATTTGGGCCAATGGTATATCAATTTTGTATTTTTCAGTTTAACATTATTTATTCTCTAATTTTTATTATTGCTTTCCTCCTACTAATTTTTCTAGGTTCTTCAGAAGCACTGATAGCTCATTTATTTGGTCTCTTTCTAATTTCTTTAAGCAGGCACTAATGTACTCATTCATTCAAAGAACCATCTGTATTTCATAATATAAGGGAAGACCAGGTCTTGGCCCTGAGAATTTACTATCTAACAACAAAATCCATTTATTTAGTTTTCTAATGGAAATAAAGCTTTCTCACTCAAGAGATGAACTGTGCATCTGCTGTTTATTTGGCATGCCTTCCCTCTCTCTATTACTCACTTCACAGTTTTGGTTTAGCGAATGTATTGGGTAAAATGAGCAGAGTCATTTGCACTAAAACAGTAGGAAGTGATAATTGCCATCAAATAGGCAAATGATGAGTTTAAAAGAGAATGGTATAGTATGATACTCTAGCCACTGAGGGCAGGATCTTTCTAAGATTGCTGTAATTCTGTTTCTAATAAACAAATTTCTTTGATCTACATGAAACAAAATAATCTGTTGCACAAATTCAAATAAAGTTGACTACTTCAGAGTGAACTATCAACTATGTCCTATGTGTTAGAACAGAAAATGCAATATTTTATTATAAAATAATTCATTTTGAAGGTCCAACCACCAAGAAGATTAGATACCAGAAGTCCATATTCTATTCCAAATGTCTTCTGAACTTCCTTTACTTGCTCAAATGTGCAAAATCAGCTACTTAAAATGCTCAAGTTATAGAAAGTGAAATATAAGGCAAGATAACTCTATTTACTTTTTCTTTCTGAAATTTGCCAACACACACACACACAAAACAACCAAAAAATGCAATAAATCAAGTTTTCAGGGTCAAATATATTCTAGTGCATTGTCAAATATATTTAGGTTCACAACTCGATAAATTTTTCACACAATGGCGAGAAAGGCTGGGGGAGGGATAAAAATGAAGAATGGATTCTTCCAGGGCAAATCTTGAAGGACAGAGGACTCGGCAAAGACTTTATACGTTAACCTGGCTTTTTCAAATCCTTATTCTTCTAGTTCTTTACCTGTCTCCTAAAACCATTGCTTTTCATTTTTTAAAACATTGATTTATCTGTGGCATGGAAGATAAAGCCACTTGCTGGCATCCCATATGGATGCTGGTTCACGTCCCTGCTGTTTCACTTCTGACCCCACTCCCTGCTAATGGCCTGGCAAAAGCAGCCAAAGATGGCCCAAGTGCTTGGGGCCCCTGCAGCCACGTGGGAGACCTGGATGAAGCCCCTGGTTCCTGCCCTGGCTGTTGGGACCACCTAGGGAATGAACCAGCAAGTGGAAGAACTCTTTCTCCCTCAACTCTTTCAAGCAAATAAACAAAGCTGTAAAAAATTTTTTATTTATGTGAAAGGCAGTTAAGGCAGTTACAGAGACAGGGCAATATCTAACATCTACTGGTTTATTTCCCAAATAGCCACAGTGGCCAGGGTTGTGCCCAATTAAAGCCAGGAGCCAAGAACTCCATCTGTGTCTCTGGGGCCCAAGCACTTGGGCCATCTTCTGCTGCCTTCCCAGGTGCATTAGAGTGGAGCTGGATTGGAAGCAGAGCAGCAGTGTCTTGGGCCAGTAATCCAATATGGGATGCTGGTGTTGCATGTGGAATACCTGGTTTGGACCGTAAGCAAAGCCACTCACCTTGGATCCCCTTAGCTATGGCAAAGTGCTTTATACTACTGTGGAGACAAATCCCCTGAGCTTGTCTATACTATCAGAGGTGAACCCAGCAGTATCAGTTACTCCATGTAATCCATGGCTTTGAACTCAGATCTGTAGTTATGTACTATGTCTTGCTTTTTATTTTAGTTTTTGTACTTAATCAAGAGAACCAAAAGTAACAGAGCCTATGTTTGGATGGAATTAACTTTAAAATTAATAATCAGTTTTCATCACTGTGACTTCTGGAGAGCTTAGGGCGGGGTAAAGGAACTGTCTCAATTGGACATCTATTGTAGACTAAATATGTCCACATACCAGTGGTGTATAGTACATTTTCATATTTTTAAAAACAATTAAATGGTCAAATCCCTAAAGATCCAGCATTTTTCCCTTTCTTTGCCCAGGAATCTGTTTTGGAAGCCAATTCAATGATTACTATTAGGACATGGAATTTTGATATCCATTTGGTCCTGATTTACACCAGTATTTTTAAGTCTGCCAACAAGAAAATCCAGAATTCCAGGCAGCCAAAATTCCATAAGAGACAACTGTCTTTTATTTTATCGCTCATGAATTTGGGGCTTAATATGATTTTCCACTAACAAGTTCTGTGCCCCCCCCTCCAGAGTGCTAAAGCCTGTGTATAGATCAGCAAAGTAACATGGAATGTATGAGGCAAGTCGGTATTGAACTTGAAGGAGAATTGTACAAATTATACTGTTTACATAAGAAAAGAGACACTCTAGTTGAAAGGGCTGACAAATGATTTATTCCAAACACTTAACCAGCATGTTCACATTTTTACGCTCAACCCCACTTGTTTGGCACTGGATGCAGAATTAATAAAGCCATCAATTAAAAACCCACTAAAAATTGGTAAGGAGCTCTAAATACTTTGTCTTCTGTTTTTAGGGAATGGCTAGAAAAACTACAGAAAAATCACAGGCAGATAACTTAGGGAATAACTCTTTTTAAGCATAAGGAAATGAAGATCCTGTTTAATTAAAAAAAAAAAAACCATAATGGTCTTATTTACCAGAAATTAGTTTGCTATACATAAAACTTCCATACATAATTAGAAAGCAATATAGAATTTCTTCCTATGTTCAAAGCAATCTTTTGTAAAGAGTCAGAGATAATAAATATTGGAATACTGAAATAATTAAATGTTTTTTAACAAAAATCGGGAAATATTTCCCAGATTCCATAAAGAAAAGGAGGAGACAGTATCAGTCCTGAAATATTTAAAAATTCCACACCTGTACCACCTTCCCTAGGCTTACAGGCTTATTCAAAATCCTTCATGTTTTATACAATTTATAATGTCATTTTATATGCTTGTTTTGAATTTGAGCCAGCAAAGAAACATAATAAAAGGTAATAACAGCACCAAAAACCATAGATTTTTTTTTATCTACAAATCTAGATATCAAACACTGCACCTGTAATGCTATTTTAGTAAAGAGAAATTATCTCACATAATGTCACAGGTGAGGCCCGGGGGGGGGGAAGAAAATGTGACGTAAATCTCTCTGCAGCAGAAGCGCATCCTAACTGTGAAGAGCACCTGACCAGACATCTCTTTCATTTCCCACCAGAATCCCACAACCGTTATCCTGAACCCAGCTGTGGTGCCAACCAGGGCAGGATGAGCTCTGCACTGTCTTCTTCAGTCTTCCTGAAAGGGAAAAGAACTTTGGACGATTCTCAGGCTCACCAGTGAGGACAGAGCCTTAAATCTGAGCACCATTCAACATTACTATATTTCTGAAATAGTAACTGTACAAAGCAGTATTATTGGAACCACGTTGCCAAAGGCTCCATCTAATGACAGTGAGAGCTAAACAAGTATAAGCAGTTGGAACAAAGACTTCAGGCATCATTTCTTCATGTTTATAGTAGAAACACTTATATAAAAAAATCTTCATTTAAAAATATATTGCTAAATTACTCTATGAAATTTATAATTAGCTAATAACATAATTTTATCTACAAAAACTTGGAAAACTGACATTTAGTGGATAAATTATTCCATACCCAAACTTACTGTACCCAGAAGAAAATAAGATGAAGACATTTCTATAAATTAATCTCGGAAGTTGAATGTCTGTACCCGTACCATGTGACAAGACAGAGCATGGAAAAAAACAACAACTCATCATTCTGTTTGTAAAGAAGGCCAAGGTCACGTGTCTCAGGTGCCAGCCAACTTTGTAAGCATTGCTACTGTTGATTCTGGCCTTCTATCAAGAACATGCGTTTCTGGTACATTTAACGAGGAATGTGCGTCTTATTTGGTTCACCCTATGGGCAGAGAAATATGACCATTTTCATTCTTAATTTCTCGTTAGGTTTTCCAAATGAAATTCATCACACTGAAAGTCGAATTAGGGCTGCACTCCCCAGGTGTGGTGTCTGAGGCAAGTGGAAAGACATTATTGCTAAAGGAATCAGTTCCTCTTGAAACTTAAAGCATATCCCTCCAGATTTCCCTTCTTTGTTGCTTTCTGCCCTAAACTCACCCCCCCTCTAGCCCTTACTAACTGGTAGTAGAGACAGCAGTGCGATCAGCATAATGGGACCCAAGCGCACAGCACTTCATCTCCGTATACGCATTGTGACAGCCAGTCAAGTTCACGGTGCCCTTTGGAAACCTCATCATCCAGAAAGCCAGCTGTGACAGAATATACATTACCTGATAGCCACAGATGTGAGTCCTGAGAGGAAAACATAAAAGATTCAAGGAGAAAATAACTTCTCATTAAGGCTAGGAGAAGCTTTGAGAAACGTTACATGGGAGACTTTAAAAACCCTGTCTAGATCGTATCGCTTGCTTTTGGAGAATAAGCTTGCTTGAGCATGTTGTGTTCAGTCACTCGTGGCCATTGGGGAGCAGGTGCATTGTCACAAGTGTCTTATATTTGGACTTCATCTTCTGCTGTAAGCTCTTGGCAGGTCCCGCTCACGTGTGCTCCTGAAGCTCCTCCATCTGACAGCAGTGGCGACGTGGCCGGGGTCTGCACGGTCAACAGGGAAAGCGAGGGAGAAAAGCTGGGAGTCATGGCCTCTGGCAGAGAGCCGAGGTGGTAGAGAAGAGGGGAGCGGGGGTACCTCTGAAGCAGCGGCCCTGCAGCTGCAGATGGCATTCTGGGTGGCACTGCCTTAATCCCAGGCTGGGCTATTGCAGTTATCAAAGGCGGTGGGAAAACAAAAGATCTCTTCTCCTTTGGAATGCTGGGTGTATGCAAATGCTCATCCTTTAGTTTTGCTATGTCATTAAATACTGAGGCCAGGGACTGGAACTTGGGTTCCCAGCTGAGGAGACAGTCCCAGGTGGAGTTGCCCCTGACCTCGCCATCAGATGTTCTCGGAGCTGGAGGAGCTGACCCTCTTGCTTCCTGGTCACCTGACATAACCAGAGAGTCTCTGCTGGCATCCACTGGCATGCCCTTTTTGGCCTCTCTCCTCTGAAGGGTCTGGGGTAACACGTTCTGCTGGGCACAGGGGGTGCTGCCGTCACCTCCCCCATCTCTGCCCTCAGACAGGTGGCTGATTTCTGTGGCTTCGGCCGTGACCATCACATCGGTGTCCCCAGACAGGCAGGAGAGCTGGTCCGAGTCCCTGGGGATTCCCGAGTCGGGCACCCTGGACTCTCTGTCACCCAGTGCTGAGTCCAAGTCCTTTCTGTAAGGGTGCTCATTGATCCTTTGGATTTCCTTATCCTCTGCCGTCTCTCCTTCCACAGAGCAGTGTCCGCTGGAGTTGGAGTGCCTGTACAGGGTGGCCATGTCCTTCTCCATGACACTGATCAAGCTCAGCCACTCGGGCGTGGGGTCCGCAGGTCCCGTCTCAGCTCCACAGTCTTGGGCACCGTGGAAGGCCTTGAACACGCTGGCGTCCCCCGTCAGCCTCAACGTGGCATCTAAGGACGGTGATGTTTTCTTCTCCCTGGAATGGGTGACTGCGTCTTTTTGTTTGTGTCTTAAAGTCAGCGCAATCAGAGTGCAGACGAGTAACAGAAACACGAAGAAGGAGACCGCGAGGCTGATGGAGAAGCTGCCGTGGGACACTGCGGAGTGCTGCCCCGCAGGGGAAAAAGACACGTTCACAAAAACTGTGCACGACGCGAACTTGGAGTCCGCCTTGGGGCTGTGAGCGATTATTTTCAGTTCCATGGTGTCGTCTTTGCTGACTTGACTTCTGAGGAGGGGCATGGCTCTCACCAAATAAATACTTCCAGTAGTTTCGTTTACTGAAAAGAAAGGAGAAGCCGTCCCAAGGGAGTAAAGAACGACTCCATCGACGCCAGCGTCTGCATCTGAGGCCTCCACTCTGCCAATCGGCTGTCTCACTTCCTTCTCTTCTGGGAGGCTGAAGAAATACTGATCTTGGGTGAAAACGGGTTCGAATTCGTCTAGCCCCTCGATATCCACCCAAACTGTCATGGAAGCTGCGGCGTCGCCTTTGTCTTTGGCCTCCACCGTGAGGCAGTACTTACTGCCGTTTTCGTAATCGACGGCCTGCTTAGCATGAATGTCCCCCGTGAAAGGGTCAATGAGGAAGAGGCCATGACCGGGAGGCGCTCCGTGAGCGCCAAAACAAGGTGCCACGATGGAATAGGTCACCTCCCCGTAGGGACCCGCATCGAAATCCAAAGCATTCGCGGAGCACACGGTGGCGGGCACGGGCAGGTTTTCCGGAACCACACAGTGCAAGCTTGAGAGCAGAAAGTGAGGCGCGTGGTCGTTATCGTCTAGGACGTTGATAAACACGACGGCAAAAGAAAAATGTTCCTTCTCATCGGAAGCTTGGACAGTTAAAGTGAATCTGATCGTTTCTTCATAGTCCAGGGGTTTCATCAGGTAGAGAACCCCCGTTTCATCTTCTAAGCGGAAATGTCCCTTCTCGTTTCCAGAGATGATACGGTAGACGATGTTCGCGTGTGAACCGACGTCAGCGTCATCGGCCGAGACCACTGTGAGGTGACTCCCGAGAGGGGTGCTCTCCTTGACGTGGGCGTGATACTTCAGACTGCTGAATTCGGGGGGATTATCATTGACGTCCAGGACTTCTACTGATACGACGGCTGTGGCGCTCAGCGCAGGGCAGCCACGGTCAGACGCAAGAATGACCAGCCGGTGAGAGGCAGCTGCTTCCCGGTCTAGACTGTGATGCAAGACGAGGTGACCAACTTGCTGATAAGGATATTCGGCGTGAGTGAAACTCGTTCCCACGTGGAAACTGTTCTGTGCATCCCCACTAAGGATGGAGTACTCCACGTACGTGTTTTCCCGGGTCCAGTCTCGGTCAATGGTTGAGAACGTGACAAGCGTGCTTCCGACCAGAGCGTCCTCACTCAAGCTAAGATTATAGTATTCCACTGTAAACTCAGGGGCATGGTTATTGGTGTCTTGAATTTCTACCTCCACTGCTGTGAAAGCCCTCAGGTTAGGAATTCCACCATCACTGGCTTCAACAAGAAATTGAATAGTTGATATTCCATCCAGAATTAATACAGGACGGATAGTGAATATTGTGCCTGGAAAACAAGGGATACATTTCAGTGTTGTGAAACTGAGTTTTCATGATCCATTTAGTTGGCAAATGCTCACTATCCACATAGGCTCAGTACCTTGTCAATTTTTGAAACATTTAAGATCTACAAGTAATATTCAAGGCAACCACTGCATGAAATACACATACTGCTTAAGGCTGATTTTGCCACACATTTCTGTGAGTTTTCCTTTTCTATAGCAAGTTGTTCCATTAGCTTGTTTTCTTAGAAAACATGTTGTTTGAAAAATGTGCACCTCACTCTACCATCCTTAAATATATGAATAGAGATATTCTGGCATAAAGCTATTTATCCTGGAAATGCTGACTGGTGCTTACTCTAGTGTTATGATAGGAGTACATGTGACAATGCAGAATTATAACTATTGCTTAATCAGCAAGTGGATTTTTCCCTTACTGATGAGGTATATTTAATATCCATTAGGTATCAAATAAAGAAATATATAATTTCTACAAATAGAAAAATGTGAGCATTTATTTTTATAAGATAACTGTGCGTTAAGCATAGGAATATGGAATGCTGCTATTTAAATACCGCACGTTAAGTAGAGTTTGTGCCAGTGAACTAAATTGACCTGATAATGTAATAAAAACATTCTAATCAGTACTTCATTGGAAAGCTTTTGATAACATGGGTCAAGGGAAAGTGTGCTAAGAAATGCCTGTTCAGAGGGATCACCTTGCAATACACAGATTTGTTGTGGCCAGTGAAGCACTTACCATCAGCTGAGATGAGAGGGAGAGAGAAGCCAACTTCTTGACGTGTTTATATTCGTGCAGTAGACACTCATGCATAGGCTACGTGGCAACATCCACTTGTTTCTCTCTTTACAACACCTCATGGGCCTCATCCTGGGAGGTCATCCCGAGGCTAATTTTAAATCAACTCTCACTCCTCTCACTCGGAAGCTGATGCAAGGGTGGGAAGAGATGGGAACCCACAGTGGGATATGCCTGATGGGACATAGCTTGATAATTACCCATCTTTATCACATTTATCTTTTAATGTCCATTCACTTTGTAACTTTCCCTCATACTGCCTCATTGTTCTTATCCGAAATCACTTGCCTAAAGGCATTGCGCAGCCGCGAATGTCTTTCTCCCTGATAAGGATACAAAGAGCCTGGGAAGGCCTCAGGTAGAGCAGACCACCACAACAGTTCATGTCAGTAGAGATGCTTGAACAGTTTTCCATTTTGGGTGACTCTCGTCTGTATTGAACATATGCTGTTATTATTAATATGTGCTTTTTACTTGGCTTACAAAAGAAGCTTCCAAACCCCAGTGATGTGAAGTCCTCAGGACTGAATCCTTTGGGCACTCTTGAGCCTCGTGCAGGCCTGAGGGCACTGCCGGACTCTGCTGGACTGGACACTGGGTACCGGGTATTCGGCACCCTGGGCTCGGAAGTGCTGAGCACACATCAGCATTCACCCAGTGCCTTCTGTTGTCCAGCCCTGAGGTGCTGGAGAAGAGAAGCAACACGGGTGGCTGCTACTTCACCACTTGACATAAGAGAATTTTTTTTTAATTTTAATTTTAATTTATTTTTTGACAGGCAGAGTTAGACAGTGAGAGACAGAGAGACAGAGAGAAAGGTCTTCCTTCCGTTGGTTCACTCCCCTAATGGCCACCACGGCCGGTGCTATGCCGATCCAAAGCCAGGAGCCAGGTGCTTCCTCCTGAAGCACTTGGGCCATCCTCCACTGCACTCCCGGGCCACAGCAGAGAGCTGGCCTGGAAGAGGGGCAACTGGGACAGAATCTGGCGCCCCAACCAGGACTAGAACCCAGGGTGCCGGTGCCGCAGGCAGAGGATCAGCCAAGTGAGCCACGGCGCTGGCCAACATAAAGAGAAATTAAAAGGTGGTGCTCGCGATTCCAGGGAGGAGAGGTGGGGACTATTTAAGCAGCATTTGGATGCAACGATTTTGAACAGCCCTCGTCTCGACTGTTGAGGAACAGTGTTTTTTTTTTTTTTTTCTTCTTACGATTTGTTGTTGAACCCTTCACTTTGTGTAGGGTTAATCCTATGAGTATAAAGTTAACTGAAAATAGATCTTTGTAAAAAAAAAAAAAAGAATGAGAATAGGAGGGAGAAGAAGGGCGGAAGGTGGGCAGGGTAGAAAGTATCACTACGTTCCTGGTTCTGTATATATGAAATACATGAAATTTGTATACCTTAAATAAAGTTTTTAAGAAAAGGAGCATTTGGAAATGGTTGTTTCAGGTTTCTACCCTGCAACTCCGGCTTACGAGCACCAAAACCACGACAGATAACCTACCATTCACTGGGTCAATTGCGAATTCCTCAGCGGAGGAGAGCAGCCTGTAAGAAATGTTCTCTTTGCTTTCCAAGTCTGTGGCGGACACAGTCAGCACTGAGTACCCCAGGGGCACCGACTCAGGAACTGTGACCTGGGAGATGGAGAGGGAAGGGCATTGTGCTTAAAGGCAAAAGAGTATTTTCATGAACAGGCCCTATACAAGACGACCTCATTTTCTTAGACATATTAATGCTTAGAGCTGACACACTGAAAAAGATTATGTTCAGAGTTTCTGGATTCAGAAATAAAAACTTCTTTTCAAAAGTTCAGTTTTGATTTTTATTATGAAAAATCTTCCTTCCAAGTTATTTTTGAGCAGAAGATAGTTTAGTGCACTCACTAACACAATGCTTCATTTTGCTTCTGTATGTTGCATAATTCAAGTAAGCCCTCACCAGAAGATCACAGCTTAGGTTGGTTCCCCAATGTGTTGACACCTAAATCTTGAATTTGCTACATTCAAGAGTCCTGGAGTCCATTTCTGAGTACTCAGTGGTATTCTATCGTTTCCCTTACTTCTATCAACTTACACTACGCTCTAAAAAACAAAATTTCCACTTCCTGGTTTTGCTCATGATTTGTTTCTGTAAAATGTTTACATTCAAAAAATACACTTAAGAAAGAATTTCCCCAAATGAACTACAGAGAATTCAAGCTCCCTATTATCTTATCTGTGGCTTTGCAAATGTTAGACAAATTCCAATTTTTATAAACAACTGTACTCCAATTCCTACAAGCTAAAAAAAAAATGATGTGAATACTTAATAAACTGAACTGAATGAGACAGTCAACTCCATTTGCTGTTATAGCCTGCACATCATTAAGTATAAAACTTGCAACATTAACACGGGCACTAAAAACAGTGAACACTATCCGCCCAAGTTAGTCTGCCAACAAGGGAAAGTTTATGCTCTTCTCTGTCCTCGCCAGTTTGGGCTGTGCTTTCAGCACCTCTTTAAACTCTTTACCTGATAGAAATCTTGAGAAAATATCGGGGGGTTGTCATTGACATCCAACACATGGACCGTGAGCGCTCCCTTTGTGAGGTGCACCCAGTCGGAAACTTGGATGAGCAACTCATGTTTAGCAGCTTCTTCAAAATCCAGAGTTTTCACCAGCACCACGTCTCCAGTGGTCTGATCAATAGCGAACTTGGTTCCAGGATCACTCTCGTTGGCGAAATTGAAGACGAAAGCTGGATTCAAATCCACATCATGAACGGATACCCGAGACACAATCAGACCAGGCAAAGAATCTGAAATAGTCATGACCAGTGTCAGCCTCAATTAAAACCCACCCTGTGAAATGCACGTCTCTGATAGTTCAACCCCAGCATGTTCAAGTCCAGCGTGATTTGCTCTTTCCTGGCATGATTTCTCATACAAAGCTCGTTTATGAGCTGAACAAAAACTCTGAAGAATTTATGAACCCAATAAAAATGAAAATATCCCATGGAGTTGGGAATTGAGGAAGCAGGGTATATTCACTTTTTATATGACTTCCTTCATCACCTGTTTACAGCACAACTCTGGGGAAAAGAAACATTCTAACCTACTTGTTTATTCTATATAGTTTCTATATCAGAATCACATATTCATGGGGGAAGTGCGTGGGGAAAGAGTAAACTTAAAAATACAAAATACAAAATTTTGAAAAGAAGGTCATATCTCCATGAAAGTATTTGGAACTGCAATATTATTTCCTTAGACTTATTTTCATAAAATTACTTCTTTTGGAGTGGCAGGTATACTGCCTTCTTCTCTTTAGTCTGACTCAAAATTCTTAAGCTGTCAGAAAGACAAAGTATATATAGTACAAGTGTTAAAAGCAAATTCCTGATATTATTCACCAAAAATATAACAAAAGAGATGACATGCTCAGGGTCTCCACATGTATTCTGGAGCATAAAATGCCCATGAAAGGGATTTTTTTTTTTTTTGACAGGCAGAGTGGACAGTGAGAGAGAGAGACAGAGAGAGAAAGGTCTTCCTTTTGCCGTTGGTTCACCCTCCAATGGCCGCCGCTGCAGCCGGCGCACCGCGCTGATCCGATGGCAGGAGCCAGGAGCCAGGAGCCAGGTGCTTTTCCTGGTCTCCCATGGGGTGCAGGGCCCAAGCACCTGGGCCATCCTCCACTGCACTCCCTGCCACAGCAGAGGGCTGGCCTTGGAAGAGGGGCAACTGGGACAGAATCCGGCGCCCCGACCGGGACTAGAACCCGGTGTGCCGGCGCCGCAAGGTGGAGGATTAGCCTATTGAGCCACGGCGCCGGCTGGGATTTTGTTTTTAAGCTGACAGATGTGGTGTAGGTGGAAATAAAATGCCAAGCTGCTCAGGAGAGTTCTACTGAGTAAAGATGCGTAATTTCAGTTGTCAGGTTTGAACATTCTTGACAGGCACCCACCAACCCTTACCCCCCATTCAGTATGTTTTGATTTATGCGGTTCATTCTTGTGATACATTTCTATTGTGCACATCACCATATTCTAAATTTAACACATGTATTTAAGAATAGTACCTTAATAAAATCAAATGGAAATATATCGGATAGGTGAGAAGCAAACCTGGAGAATTTATTTTTATTTGTAAAATGTAATATTTGTAGAAATTCATTTGGATGTAGATTTCTGGAATGCATTCTTAAAAAATGATGCTTATAATTTGTCTGCAAAATGAGCATAACAAAATGAATGAGTTTGGTGTTAGGCGTGAGAGAGGCACATGAGGGCCCATAACAGTTTTCAACTTCAGCTACAAGGAGTTGGGTTGAGTTTTACCAAGGCAGCCTGACCAGTGACCACTTTGGGTTCACAGACTGTGGAGTCTTCCTGTAACCCACAGACCAAAACAATTTAGATTAATGTGGGCCACTTAAAATCCATATGTATTAACTTCCATCATTAGCATGGTCCAAATGTTGCAGTTGTTACTCTAGGGGAACATGATGGTTTTTTGCAACCAACATCCAATTCCCTTCACTCATTGTCATGCATATCCTGCAAAGATGGACAAAGTTATGAGTCTGAGAACATTGATTCTTCTGACAAGATTCACGATGGTCATCACAGTCAACACAATATGTTTCTTCATACAGTAGGTTTAATTTTTTTTAAAACATGCATTTAAACAAGTGCTGTGAGAAATGTTGGTTAGAGCATGGGGACTTGGCCCTCTGCTGATCTGAAAGCAAATCCTGGCTTCCCCAAGGAACTCCTCTGACATCTGATATTTAACTTATGATCGTACGTTTTCTGTTCTGTGCAATGAAGGCAAAAGTATCTAGCTTGCATGGTTGTTGGGAAACAAAACAGCAAATGGTGTTATAGAACTTGATCACAACCACTATTCCAAATTGCCACACTTACCTTCTGCAATTTGCACTGCTTCAGAGATGAGAAAAGACGGGGCATTGTCATTTATGTCAGTCACTTGTATGTTGATCATAGATGTGGCTGAAAGTCTGGGCATCCCTCTATCTGTGGCTTGCACAGTCAAGCTGGTTTGGGAAAGAATCAAGGAATGTTATCCACTATCCAGGAATTAGAGAAATAACATAAATATTACATATTTACTTGAAGACTTAAAACTGAGCTGCCTCGCTGCTTTTACTTCTCCTCTGGCTTTTTCTAAATGGCATCATTGAAGATTTATTTCATAAGAATAGTAGCCTGAAATTTATTTATTTTTGACATGTTTAGAGAACCAAATCCAGCAAGCTTCCAGGGATCAGGAGGCATTAATGTCAAAACAAATGGACCTTTTTTGGGAGACAGACTGAAAAATTCAATCTTGTTCTACTAGCAACAACCAAAACACTACCAACACCAATACCTGCACTTTGGGGAAGCTGACTGCTTCCACCTGCTGCTCTTGGCCTAGTCATCGCTCCCTTATTCCATCTGGCTGTACCAACAAAGGACAGCACCACTAAAGGCTTGCTTTGTACTGAGAGTTTTCAGTTCTAAGTAACAACTCATGCAAATCACAGAATTAAGCAAGATGCAGCCATTATGAATGGACACACAAAAGATACATGACTGGCTATCACTGTGAACTAGAGGCAGGAGTCCACAATCTGGTAGAATTCACACACAGTGATTTGACGTCTTAGATGAAACCACGACAAGCCTTTCCATCAACTGAGCTGTAGACCTTATCACCATCTTCAACTTGTCCTTTCTCTCACCATGCTTCCAATAGCCAATGAATAATTAGCCTCATTGGTTGTATTTCCTTAATATCACTTGGATGAGTGTTCCTATCTGCATCAGCTCCATGTTCAGGGATTCAGGTAAGGTGATAAAAAACAAACAAACAAAAAAAACCGCTATGCCTGGGATTGAAGGATTCCCTAGGATATGGGACTTGGATTCCCTAGGATATGGGACTTGGAGTTTTTCTAAAACCAGGAAAGTCGAGGCAAACTGGGATGTGGGACTTTCAGTACCAAGTCCAGGAAAGCACTGGAAAACTAGGAAAAGCTGGGGTCCCTGTAGCCACAGCCCCTTCTCACTCGTACTTGGTATGCTATATATGCATTCTATCCTTTCTCGTATGAAATAGTTACCAATTTACCAATCTCCTTATTTCAAATTTCACCTGCTCTTACATCTCCCCTGCTTAGCATCTCAATTCTTTTACCTAAAGTTCTAATTTGCAAACCCAGTTTCCCCCATCCCCCACACCACCACTTCGAAAGTGTTTCCTTTTACATGCTCCGCGCATGTATAGATGACCTTGTATGTTCTGGCTTCTGCTGGAAGCCCTATCTTTACACCTGCTTGGTCTTTCTGAGCTCACATCTCTGACATCAAAGATTTCACTGACTGCTCATCTGATTTGGAAGCCCTTTTACCTATTCCCTCCATGCTCTGTACATTCTTTTTGCAGAGTAGTCATCACACTTTAGTCTTCTGCCTGTTCTCTGAGTTCCATCAGGGCAGGTATCTGCCTTATATTCTTTTCTTTGATAAGTGTTGAATGCTGCTTTCTCAAGATTTGCCATGGGTTATACATGTAGTACACATGACCAAACGAGGCAATAAGCCCAGGTCCTTCTCTCTTGCAAAGTTGCATTGCACTGTAGGATGCTCCTTTACAAGCTTGTCTTCCTGTGTATTTATCACATACTGGATGTATGGTGATGTGAAATCTTGGCTTATTTTTTGCCACCCTCTAACACTAGCAAGTCCAGGAGGGTGGCTAAGAAATAACAGATGTCAACCAAAGATGCTCCTTAGGGGCTGGCATTGTGGTACAGCTCCATAAGTTGCCGTTTGTAATGCTGGCATCCCATATCAGAGTGCCTGTTTGAGTCCCAGTTATTCGCTTCTAATCTAGCTTCCTGTTAAGGTGCCTGGGAAAACAGTGGAAGATTGCCCAAGTACATGGGTCCCTGCCAACCATGTAGAAAACTAGAATGGAGTTCCTGGCTACTGGCTTCAGCCTGGCCCAGCCCTGGCGGTTGTGCCCATTTAGGGAACGAACCAGTGGATGGAAGATCTCTTACCCCTCACCCCCACCATTTTTCTGACAGACAATTTTTTAAAAAGAGATGCTTTTTATTTTAGAAATGTCATTAGTCTTAGCCAGTGGGGGAGACCCCCTTTTTAAGAAACTGAATGTTGGAGATTGACATACTTCTACTTTCCCTTACATTGTTAACCAAAAGTGTTCTCTCTCTTTCTCTCTCTCTCTCTCTCTCTCTCTCTCTCTTTCCAACACCACATTTTAAAGTGATGCGAAATAAGCATCAATTCTTTCTTGGTATGAGTTCCATTTAACAGCCAATGATCACTGTTTATTAATAGCAGGCTACTTATTGCTTTCTATGCTATCAAAGTTGGGGCATCAGTAGAACAATCATTGGACTTTCACACTTCTGGAAACCAGGGATAATTCCATGTGGCAAGTTTATTTTGTTAGTATCAGTGTCAGTCAGGTACATATGGAAATAGTTTACTCAAAATAATCAACTCATAATGTTTTCTCCCCTGCTGCCTGCCCCTCCCCAATGTCATCTGGAGTCTCGGCCAAGACATCAAAGTTAAAGTTGTCCACTCTTCTACTATATGCATAACCACCCTTGTTTTCACAACATTACAACATCAGGGAGTCTATGTAATGCCTATGTCAAGTTAAAAAAAATGGTAAAGTTCTTTGATTTGGAAGGAAATATATTATTCACTTTCAAAATAAAAAGACAAGAAAAAGGTTTCTCAATGGCTTGAACAACAAATGAAAAATTATGAAGGCAGATCTGCAGAGATTCTACACACAACCTCTGTGAGTACTCAAGCCTTCTGTGACAGCTCCTTGGCAGTCGTTGTGAAACCATTGGTTGTAGCCCGTCCAACTCGCTTCATGTTCCAGGACTGCTGCCTTGATTAGTATTATCAGAGGAGACTGTAAATGAAACTGGGCAGATTCGGAACAGGCCTTTTCTAAGCATTCAATATTCAGAGCATAGTTTTCCTTTTCTACCAACCATGGGAAGTTATGCCTGCAGTGTAAGATGGTACATCAGGCCTTTGACCAGGAAGAACATTTCCTTTTAATGTTATTTGTTTATTTGAAAGAGCGGGAGAGGGAGAGGAACAGCAGGGTTGTGGGGGAGAGAAAGAGAGAGAGAGGTGTCTTCCACCTTCTGGCTTTCTCCCCAAATGCCTGCAATAGCCAGGGCTGGGCTAAGATGAAGCCAGGAGTTGGCAACTCAATCCAGGTCTCCCATGTAAGTGTCAAGGACCCAATGACTTGCGTCATCACTGCTGATACCCAGGATGTGCATTAACAGGGCGCTGGATGTGGAAGCAGGGCCAGTACTCCAACCTAGGCACTCTAAAATGAGCTGCAGGCATCTCAAGCAACAGTTAAATAATCACTACATCAGTGCTGAATCAGTTGGGATCTTTTTTCATTGCCTTAATAGATTCTGAAGTTGTGAGTGGATGATTTCTCAAAACTCAAGTACATCTAAAATGTCTACTAAGAATTTTCTGTTTCCCTTGAAATTCTAAGGAATAAAAATATCAGCCAACATCAGAAACATCTATGCAAAGAATTATAATTTTTGGTTAAGGAGAGCAGGCCAATGTCACAAGTTTTTAATCTCTTCCTTCTCTCAAGATTCCATCAAAATGATACACTTTTTAAATTTGAGATAAGGTCTAAGTCCTTAAGGCTAAAAAGAAAATGGGAATAAATATTAGTAGGTGGAATATGTGAGAAATATCAACAATTTTTAGGAGCTAACAAGCAGATTGAGTAAAGATTGCAGATGAATGTATCAGTACAAATCAGAGATTAAAATGCATTCAGAATGTTCAACACCAAAAGTCTATCCTAAAAGATTTGGGGGATGTTTGTAACGATAGGTAAATGCAGCTTCACTGTGACACTGTACCACTCTTAAGATATATTTATTTATTTGAAATGCAGAGTTACAGAGTGAGTGAGTGAGTGAGTGTGAGAGAGAGAGAGAGATTTTCCATGCATTGATTCACTCCCTAGACGGCTGCAATAGCTGGAGCTGGGCTGACCCAAAACTGGGAGCCAGGAGCTTCTCTTGGATCTCCCACATGGGTGCAGGGGCCCAAGGACTTGGGCTGTCTTCCACTGCTTTCCCGGGTGCATCAGCAGGGAGCTAGATTGGAAGTGGAGCAACTCTGGGACTTGTTTGTGAAGGAACATATGGGGTATCTTTGTCCCTTCCTCTCAATTCTTCTGTGAACATAAAATTGCCCATAAAAATAAAGTCTCAAAAATTGCACTGAGAAGAAGAGAATGTCAAGTGAGAAGCCACGGTCACCCCCAGCAGGTAAGCAAGAGGAGGCTCCAGATGTGGCGGGGGTGGAGTATTGAACTGAAAAGAGGAGGTTGCAATCAGGAAATCCGTGAGGACGTGAACCCAGGCACTCCAATGGGGGATGCAGGCGTGTAAACTGGAGTCTTAACTGGTGGGCCAACACCTGCCCTGGGAGACTATCTTATAACTCAACATACAGAATAATCACGGCCCTCTTGCCCATTGCTATTCCCTCCCAGGCAAAAGAATGACTGCTGTTCATACGCAAGGTAAGCGATCTTGGAGGACCTTTCCTGGAGAAATGAAAGCCCTTTCTCAAAGAAAAGCAAACACTGCAGGCTGATGTTTGCATAGCATCCTACCAGCAGTCAACACCCACTCTGGTTCATCTGAAAGTGAGGAGTGTCAAGCTCTTCTAATCTACTCAGATTCTTTTGAATTTGCTCTTCCCTCACTCATCACCAAAGATAATCACTATTTATAGAAAGCCTTAGGAGAGATCAAAGGAGAAAAGGAGAAAAATGAAACCTAGTGGAGATAGATATTGAAATGAATCAAGAATACATAATAATTCTAGTGAATGTCCTTAGAGAGTTATTAGAAGATAATTCATCCATTAGATAAGAACAGTTTACTTTGAAAAAGATTAAAGGTCAAGAAAGAGCTTTGGGAAGTATAATAGTAAAGAAATA